TTTTTAGCTAGCGAGCAAAGGTCAACACGAGTGCACATTAATAATTAGCCATGTGTCATATCAAAGATGGTGGTCGCATACCTCCAGTGACCAGTCCCTGCGCGGCATGCAAAAGGTCTATTGTGGTGCACTTTTCCTCTTGGTGTAAGATGGTCTGTCCAGAATGTAAAAATCTCCTGAAGGCTCACATTCTTAAAAATCACCGGAAAGAGAAACGTGCAACCATTCATCCACTCTGCAATAAAAGATATCTAACATAAGAAGAAATGAAAGTTGTGTTACAGAGTGAAAAAAATGCTAGATTGAACGCCCAATGTAGAGAATGATATTAGAGAAAAAATTTGAGTGAGGCTGTCCAGCTAAAGGATGACGATCAGGAGACCTCTTGGCAATGCTGACAATTGTCCCAAAGGAAAGGTACCTGAAGAGATGTTATGTCTCTGGGAGCAGCAGGAAAAAATGCTCAACACAAGAAACAAACACGGACACAGATGACATCCAAAGTGAGTATACTTCATGTTAATCAAACTCAGATCTAAGAAAATAAAGATTTTTCCAAACCTTTGAAGTTCAGTCTCAGAGTTAGTACGGCCATGAGTAATCTCCCTGATCACAGATATTTTCTTTGTTAAATACCAGGGGATTTTACATACATTTGCCAATTTGTCTCCCTGTATGGAGAATATTTTAATCAAGCCAAGATATGCATTATTTCAGTGTAATAATGGCATCTATATGTTCATTCCACAGAATAATGACACTATGTATAGACCTGTACTGCAAAAACCTGCATGTACTTGTTCCACTGTGCAAGTTCATCACTCTCCCAAGAAACCAGAGGATCAGGTAAAACTGAGAAAATGACCCTTGTTCCCTGCTTGCCAGCTTGTTTTACCCTCACCCTCCATTCTTTTGGGACTCTTTTGTCTCCTCTTCAACTTAATTCACGTGATGGCAATGTATTAATGTTCTCAAAACCTAGATCATTTCCCATATTTTTCCTAGACTATACAAGAACAAAGTTGACAAGGTACATGGGTGGAATGACCAGGTATTAAGGTGGTGTATGGAAGCTGCACAAGAAAAGGCACTGAAAAAAGAGCACTATTGGGGAGGATTCGTTATTGATGAAATGAAAATTAAGGTTCATGACTAGTGCTGAGAAAGTCTTGCTCAACATCATACCCATCCAAAAAAACTTGGATAAGCCATAAATTGTCATTCAACAATTTGTTAATGTTGTTGAAAAGTAGATTTATACATAAGGCCCGGTTCAGATGCCGTACTTCACATGAGCCGAATCGAATTCAATGAATTAAGTTCATGTGAAGTATGGCGTCTAAATCAACTTGAAACTGCTGATTGAATTCGGATCAGCTCAGCAGTTCTTCATGCCTGGCTCAGCCAGGAATAATGGCTGTGGACCAGCTTTGATTCAGACGCCAATCTTCACAT